GGTATATTGGTTTGGACATGTCCAGAGGAGGGACAGTGGGTACATTGGTTTGAACAGGTCCAGAGGAGGGACAGTGGTATATTGGTTTGAACAGGTCCAAAGGAGGGACAGTGGTATATTGGTTTGAACAGGTCCAAAGGAGGGACAGTGGTATATTGGTTTGAACAGGTCCAAAGGAGGGACAGTGGGTACATTGGTTTGAACAGGTCCAAAGGACGGACAGTGGGTATATTAGTTTGGACATGTCTAAAGGAGGGACAGTGGGTTTATTAGTTTGGACATGTCTAAAGGAGGGACAGTGGGTATATTAGTTTGGACGTGTCCAGAAGAGGGACAGTGGGTATATTGGTAGATTTTAGAGATACATCTGCCAGGAAAAAGACAAAAAGGACATTTATGGATTCAGGTAGACAGGACATGGAGGTAGTTGGAGTGAGGACAGAAGACACAGAGGACAGATTGAGGACAGGGGAAAAGAACTTGCTGTTGAAACCCCTGAAGAAGTTCTGACCCAGATCAGCAGGTCTGGCACAACGGACAGTTTGGTCAGGGGACTGTCGGTGAATGCCACGGTCGCCACAGGAGCCAAGCCAAAAAACAAGCGGATCTTCCGGGCCAGTTCTGGCAGCGTGGAGAATGCTATGAATGCTGGGACATGAGACAGAGGACAAAGGTGAGTTCTGCAGACAGAAACGTCTTCACGTCCCAGAGTTTCAAAAAATAAGCGAGCAGTGACCGCGGTACCTATGGTGGTCCCCTGCGAGTGTCCGATGTAGAAGATCTGTTCCTGAGCGCTCACCTTCAGGACGTGGTCTACGACCGCAGGAAGGTCCTTCAGAGCCATCTCATCGTAACTACAGACAGGAAGCAGCTTAAAAAATCAACCTGACCTCTAGTAAGTCCAACGGTCCTTTTAATTACTCACCTGAACCTCCAGAACTCCTCCTGGTCTGGGCTCAGGGTCAGGTGTTTCCTAGACCAGGTGTTTCCTCGGCTGTTTCCAATCCAAACGTCGTAGCCTGCGTCTGCCAGCACGAAGCCCAGACTGGCATGGGGCGGGTTGGTGATCCAGTTGCTGCCGGCAGCCAGGAGTCCGTGTTGCAGGAAGACCACTGGCCTCGGACCTGGGGGACACCAGGACCAGTTAAACTGCGCTGAACCAGAACCACGGTATGGAATAAATCTTGTGCCAGCAGGAATTGAATCTGAATGTGCATAATCTGAAAATGAATGCATTGGTTTGAAAATAAATTTCACTAAATTGAAACTGAATTTAAAGTTTTGTATCTGAATTAATTTGCTTTGAAACTGTATTTTGGTTTATTAAAAATTCAGTTTGACTACTTTCACTTTCAGTTCCTGTTATGGTGATATTTATTTAACAAAGACAGAAATACGTGGTCCAAGAATGAAGGTACTCCGTGAGATGATCAGCTGAGTTTTATTGCAACAACAGGAAACACAGAGAACGTGGCCTGTCTCTGTGCCTCTGCTTCTCTCTGTCAGTCTCTCCACACTACTGTTGAACACTGTTGAACCCTGTGTCTCGAGAGGCCTCATATATACAGTATATTAACAAACACCATTATGCCATCTTAGCAAGATTTGATACAAGGTCAATGGAAAACACAAAGATAAACACAAGTGATACTGTATCTAAGAATGACCGTTGTTAGCAAATCTTGTTCTGACTTTAATCATTCTGTCTGCAGATGAACAGCATGTCATGAAAAACTAGGTCATTAAAGGTTGTCATGAATTACTTGCTTAAACATAAAAGTATTAGTTCTATTACAGTTCCATAATTCAGATTTTTGTGTCGCACATCCTGGTCCATGAGAAAGCCAGCCAGAGTAATCAAACACAGATCCACAGATTTATGTTTCACTTTGGTGAAGTTTCCCTTCTGTATATAACAGAGTTGATGCAATCCACTGTAAAAGTGACAAAAAAGGACAAAGTTATTTTATTGCAGTGATTAATTTTACCTGTATGTAGAAAACAGGGGTGCAACGATATAGAAAATTCACGATTCGGTTCAAAACGATATTTTTTCGATACAAAAAAGAGAAATTTCCATGCCCTTTTTAACTTGTAATTTATTTAAATTAATTATGAACATTTGTTTAACCTCAAAAGTACAGTTTTTAAATTAAATGTGGCTGAAACAGCAAGTTTCTCAGTGGATATGTGCTCAAAAATGCAGTCTAGGTGGAGTAGTCGAACACAGATCCTTCAACACAGAACATCTTCAGAAGACAAGTTGATAAAATATATTTAAAAAATCTGTATTGTTCCATACAAATGTGTATTGAACCTAAAGCACTGTTCGATACGGGTACATGTATTGTTGCACCCCTAGTAGAAAATGTTATTTACATCACATCATGGATCACATATTGATCAGATGCTGCTGCTGACTGATCTGTGATGTGATGTAAATGTAACATTTTCTACATATAGTTCAAATTAATCACTGCAATAAAATAAATGTCTGTTTTTGTCACTTTTACAGTGGATTGCATCAACTCTGTTACAGAAGGGAAACTTCACCAAAGTGAAACATAAATCTGTGGATCTGTGTTTGATTACTCTGCCTGGCTTTCTCAAGGACCAGGATGTGACACAAACATCTGAATTACGGAACTGAAAGTGAAAGTAGTCAAACTGAATTTTTAATAAACCAAAATACAGTTTCAAAGCAAATTAATTCAGATACAAAACTTTAAATTCAGTTTCAATTTAGTGAAATTTATTTTCAAACCAATGCATTCAATTTCAAATTATAAACATTTAGATTCAATCTGAACAATTCAAATTCAGTTCCTGCTGGCACAAAATTTATCCCATACGTGGGTCTAATCCTGCACATTAAAAAAACCCGGTCTGATTCTGAGTCATGTTTTGGTGAAGTGACAGGAGGTCAAAGTTCACAGCTGAGGTGACCAGACTACTTCCTGTTTGTGAAATCACTTCCTGTTCCTGCTGCGTGTGTTGGTGTTACAGAACCTTCAGAACCAGAAGAGAACCAGACCTGTGGTGGGTTTGAGGCCATGAGGGATCCTGTTGACGGTCAGGATGTAGCCGTCCTCCGACAGAACTGTGTGCTCCTCTGCAGGGTAACCCCACCTTCGGATGATCTCAGTCTGAACACACACACAAACACACACGCTCAACAGTCTGCACAACAACCACCCGACACAGGTGCACGCTGCCACTCCTCCAGGTAAATCTGTTTACAAGAGGAGCTCCTGCCCCATCAGACAGAACTGAGACAACAGCTCAGCTTTTACTTTGAAAATCCAGAACCAGACGAACTCACGATGTTCATGTTCACTTCAGGGTCCAGCTTCTGTAACCGTCCGACACTCCAGCTGCTGTGGACGAGGGCGGAGAGGAGCAACACACACACCGAGACACACATCTTCACCTGAGACACACACACACAAAGATATTATATTTTGGGTTGTTTACAGTTGTGTTTAGGATTGCACATAATGTTCTCCACTTCCTGTTTCTGACCTTTAACCTGATGTTTCAGGTTTTATTTTTGTATTTTTTTAATGTGTCATACTCACTCAGCTGTTTCCTAAACTATTTTAAGTCAGTTCAGTATTTATTTCGTCACTTCCTCTTTTCTTACCTTTCACTTCCTGTTGGATTTATTTTATTAGCCACAGACATCGATCAGCTGACTGTCAGTGAAATAATTTCGTACAGAAAATATTCCGGAACAACCCAAAGAAGCATTTTAGCTGCTTCCTGTTCAAGCTTTAACTCAAAACAAATTATTTCTGTCACAAATTTCATTTCCTCTTGTAAACCTGTTTAAACTGGTCCGGTTCCGGTCCGCTCTCTGCTAAAACAGAACCGCGCTGCTCAGTAGAGATTCGTTACAATAAAATAATAATAATAATGATAAAAAGCCTCGGAACTGACCTGTGTTCTCCAGCTGCTGCTGCTGCTGCTGCTGCTGGACTCTGAACTCTGAAGAGGTCACATGACCTGGTGATGGGCGGGTACAGTGACGTCACGACGAGCGGTCTCTCTGATTGATCAGAGAAAACCAACCCCCTAAACCTGACTGGTTTTGATCCAATCAACGCAACAACAGTTATTCAACAAAAAACACAAGAGTGTTTTCTCTGTAGCTGAAAGGTTCTGATGTCTCTCAGGTCCAACATGACTGACAGCACCTTTCAAAATAAAACCACTGACTTAACACTTTCAAAATAAAACTATACCATGGAGGTTTATAACCCATGTAGGGTTATCCAAGTCCTACTGACACCTTTCAAAATAAAACTACAGAACTAATGACAACTATCAAAAATGACACCTTTCAAAATAAAACAGCTGACCTTTAAAACAGTATAAATACACATACAGGTTTATTTTTATTGACTAAAGAGCTTCAGCGGAAAACAAAAACAATTTAACAAAAATATTTTTCGACTCCTCTTTTGATAAAATTCGTCCAGTTTTAATACGTGATTTAAAAAATAGGATATCACAAATTCCAGACTTCTATTTTGAAACCTACAACAGGACATGACGTTGCACTAGTTTACGTCTCGTTTCACAAGATCGCCCGGTGTCGGAACCGAACACCCACCGAACCGGTACCGCTTAGACCCGGTCCGTCTTCGGTTCTGAGGATGTCCCGCGTGCTGATCGTCGGCGCGGGCCTGACGGGCAGCTTGTGCGCGTGCCTGCTGAGGAGGGAGCTGCAGAGTAAAGTTCAGATTGTTGTGTGGGACAAAGCAAGGGGCACAGGTGAGTGTGCGCAGAACTTCATTCAGAAATCCGACGTTTTAAGGTTTCTGAGCTCAGAACCGAATCGAACCACTCCGCAGATCAATGACTCTGATGGTTTTTATATCAAACGGATTCTGGCTTTAATTCGGTTTAACGCTGAGTTCCAACAAAACCTTATATCTGCTGTTAGAGGATATAAAGCTGCAGAAAGTTCCTTAAATGTGGGATATTATAAATGGAGTCTGGTGTGGACCTGTGTGTGTCAGGTGGCAGGATGTCCACTAGTCGTCCTCCTGATGCCTCATCTCACTCCGCTGACCTGGGAGCTCAGTACATCACATCCACACCGGCTTACGCCCAGTCCCACCACAGGTACGCCTCACCTGGTGGCTGCAGGTAAACGTCCACAGAGAAGTTCTCACCATGTTTGTGTTCAGTTTTTACTCAGAGCTGCTGTCTGCCGGCGTGCTGCAACTCTTGGACTGTCAGGTCGAAGGACTGAAGCAAAAACCTGGAGACAAGAACTACGTGACGCCACGGGGCATGAGCAGTGTCGTCAAACACTTCCTGTCCGAGTCAGGTAAACACTTCCTGTCTGAGTCAGGTAAACACTTGTTGGTTGGCCAGTACATCAAGTGGTTGATATATGTTTATTCAGATATTTAAACTGCCTGTGACATGCCTATCCTTCAAGAACAAAAAGTCAAAGAAAACATCTTTATTCTTAAGAAAATTGGCATAATACAGACTATTTTACCCATTTTGTCTCATAACTGGCCTATTTTCTTTTGAATTTGGCTCAGTCAAAGTGAAACAGGAAGTGACATCAAAGGGGAACTCATTACTAAAATAAACTCTCTGGTTTTTGTTTAATAAAACAAAAATTTTTAAACTAACTCTTCATCATCTCTCATTGAAAGAGACTCAAAATAATCTAAAGAAGCATCAGATTTTTCTCTACAGTCTGTGTTATTTGCTGTTGTGACAACGCTCTGTTTACATGCAGACATTCTTTTTGACATCACTTCCTGTTTCTTCACATGCAAATATCTCAACAACCATTCATCTGAGCGACATGAAATTTGTTTTGCAATATGTTACCAATCTTATCTTTCCAAAAATGCAGTCATGTTTACTACAAAAATTTGATGTGACAGGCCCTTTAAGAACGCTGCATGGTCTTACAACCTGATGCACGACAGCGGTATAATGTGTCACATAATCGATTTAAATCATTGTATCTGGACAGACAGCCTCTCTGACACTCTGCTGCAATTTATGTCAAAAGCAGAGACTTAAAACTATACAGCAGTTTTTAAATTGTGTCCATAAGACAAGTAAAACCAGAGTTATGATAAATAATTTACCACACGTTTTTTTTTCTGAAATTGATGTCTGAAAAGGATGTTCCTGTTTGAAGCCCGTTGCAGCTTCAGGAAACACGGTAATCTTGTGAAAAAAAAAACAAAAACAAGGTAATCTGCCGTCAGTTGAAAAAAATTCCCCCCCCCCCCACCCCCAAGACCTCCTTTCTGAGCAAAGCTCCCAAGTTATTTGTCAAGCGCCAAAAATAATCTACAGGAAGGAGAAAATAAAAAGAGGTGAAAGTTGCATGGAGTTTGGTGATGGAGAGACAGCGGGAGCAGGATTAGATTTGAGAGTTTTATGATATTTGAAGTGTTTGGATTTATAATTAGGGTGTAGTTTAGTGTGTTTATGCCAGGGGTGGGCAATCATGGTCCTCGAGAGCCGCAGCCCTACATATTTTACATGTCTCCCTGCTCCAACACACCTGATTCAGTCACTGAACTACCTTTAAGTTCTGCGGTATGGAAAAATGGAGGACCGACACTGACATAATTAGAAATAAAAGCAGAAATACATAAATGAAACTTTAAATAGATAAATTGTTAAAATGCACCAAATAAATTAAAAAGGAGAACTTAACCTCATGTTTTATAATTTCATTGACCTTCATATTTATTTTTCCAGCTTAGCTCCAATAAATTATATATTTTACACCATAATTTAAATTTTAATGTTTTTTAATATATATTTAAAAAGTTTTTCCTTTTACTTGTACATGCAATAGAAATTTTTTTATAATTTTGTCCCACAAGTCTTTTTATTTCTATGTGTTGCATGTTTGTGCTGCTGCAGTTTAGCTTAAAGTTTAGTTAAAAATAAACGCACAGGTCATGTTTTCCTCCTTGCCTTTGTTTTAAACTAAACTTTAAACTTTTAGCTAAACTGAGGCACAAGCATGCAACACATAGAAATAAAAAGACTTGTTGGACTAAACTAAAAAAATAATTAAGTATAAACATTTAAGACACAAAAATGCATGTAGACGTAAAAGGAAAAACAATTAATATATATTTTAAAAAACATTAAAATTTTAATTACATGTTCAAATATATAGACTAATTTATTGGAACTAAGCTGGAAAAATAAATATGAAAGTCAATTAAAATATAAAACAGGAGATGAAGTTCTCATTTTTAAATTTAATTGGTGCATTTTAAGTGTATATCAGGTGTGTTGGAGCAGAGAAATAAGTAAAACATGTAGGGCTGCGGCCCCCCAGGACCAGGACTGACCATGCCTGGTTTATGTCTGTTGGAGCCAACCTCCCCACCGCCACAGACATCTACACCTCCAGATGCAGAAAAAGGGCCTCCTGCATCATGAAGGACCCTACTCACCCAGCACACTCACTTTTTGTCCCGCTCCCCTCAGGTAGGAGGTTGCGGAGCATCAAATGCAGGACAACCAGACTGAGAAACAGCTTCATTCCAGAAGCTGTGCGACTCTTAAACTCCCATCACTCTCCCTTATTGCACTGCTCTTAGCTATACACTTTCCTACCTGTAATATTGTGCTCTTGTAGCGACTTTATATTTTATACTTTAATATTTTATATTTTTTTATTTGGATGTAACTGGGGCTGTGACTCTTAATTTCGTTCCATCTCATGTAATATGTGATGTGAATGACAATAAAGTATCTTGAATCTTGAATCTTATGCTTTAGTTCAGTCCATTTTAATGTTTGACTCAGGTCTGACTGGAACGACCTTTTTTTTAAAATAAAGTTCTGCTTGTTTCTGTCAGGAGCTGATTTGTTCCTGGAGCATCACGTGACCGGCCTGTACCGCCGCGGTGCATCATGGGAGGTGGAGCGAACGGCAGGGGGCAGCGAGACGTTCGATGCCGTCGTCCTGACAATGCCGGTTCCACAAATCCTGCAGCTGCAGGGAGACCTGGTGACGTGTAAGAGTCTCGGAACCAGACACGGTCCAACCTGTCCTCACAGAGACAGGACACGTTTTCCCGATTATTTTGACATTTTCTGAGTTTCATCTATGTGCAAAATGTTTAAAGAGCAGAAATGTGGTTCTGATCATGGAGCTCTGCAGCTAGAACCCTCTGAGGTTCTGTGTAGTACACAGGTTCCACCACACAGGGGCGACACACACACATTATGTCACTTTGCTGCGCTCTGATTGGTTGGTGGGCTCTTGGGTTGGGGTGGTCTGGGCACTGCAGTCTGGTTCTCAGGTCCAGGTGTGTGTTTAGGATTTGGATCAGAGAGAGAGAGTGTGCGTGTGCGTGTGCGTGTGTGTGTGTGTGTGTGTGTGTGTGTGTGCTCAGGCTGAAGATGGCAGCTCCTCTTTGTTTTGTCAGAAGATGATGATGATGATGATGATGATGATGATGATGTCACATTCAGCTCCTCTGATTGGCTGCTCAGGAACAGTGCCTCTGACACACACACACGGGTTATTATTAGACGTGTGTGTGTGTGTGTGTGTGTGTGTGTGTGTGTGTGTGTGTGTGTGTGTGTGTGTGTGTGTGTGGTTCCCTGGACCAGACCAGAACCTGCTCTGTTCAGGACAGCAGTGATGTCCCCAGATTAGACTGAGAGCACAGAACTGAAGGGAGTCCCACTGGTCCATGTGGACTCACCTCAGGTGGTTTTAGACCAGGTGATGCAACATCTCCTACTTCCTGTGTCTGTGTGTCCCAGTGATGTCCACCCAGCAGAGACAGCAGCTAAACTGTGTCCAGTACTCGTCCCGGTTTGCTCTGGGCCTCTTCTTCTCTCCGGAGGTGGTCTTTAGTTTCAGCTGGGGGGCCAAGTACTTCACTGACAGCTGCTGCATCCGCTACATCGCTGTGGACAACAGGAAACGCAGCGCAGGTACGTCTCATCACCTGTCTTTTTATTGTCCACTTAACTCTTTATTGTCCACCTGTCTGTCTCTGATTGGCTCACCTGTCTCTTTATTGTCCCCATGTCTCTTCAGACGCTGCAGGTCTTGGTCCATCCCTTGTGGTCCACACCAGTGTCCCATTTGGTGTAGAACACCTGGAGAGGGACAAGGAGGACGTCCAGCCAATTATCTTAGAGGAGCTGCACAGGCTCCTCCCCCAGCTGCCTCAGCCAATCAGCATCAAGTGTCAGAAGTGGAGGTACTCCCAGGTGAGTCACCGCCTCCCGAAGTCCTGATCCCTGCCAGGAGACAAATCTGCAAGATTTAAGCCCCGCCCCTTCTCTTCTGCAGGTGTTGACCACAGTACCTGACTGTCCAGGTCACATGACCCTCCTGCAGACACCACCGCTCATCTGTGGCGGCGACGCCTTCAGTCACTCCAACTTTGACGGCTGCGTGGACTCTGCTCTGGGTGTCCTCAGAGCTCTAAAGACCTCGCTTAGGGTCTAGAACACCTGTGGAACTGATTAGAACATGAGAGGAACTGATCAGAACATGAGAGGAACTGATCAGAACATGGGAGGAACTGATCAGAACATGAGAGGAACTGATCAGAACATGAGAGGAACTGATCAGAACATGGGAGGAACTGATCAGAACATGAGAGGAACTGATCAGAACATGAGAGGAACTGATCAGAACATGGGAGGAACTGATCAGAACATGAGAGGAACTGATCAGAACATGAGAGGAACTGATCAGAACATCAGAGGAACTGATCAGAACATCAGAGGAACATCTCTCTGGTCCAGGTCTTTAGATGTCCTGAGTTTCTTGGTGTTTTGAAGTAAAAACAGTTCTGGACTTCACTGGTCCAGTTTCAGGTTTTTGACCTGATTTTAATGGTTGTTTGATTTTTATACATTTTGTTGTTTTTGTTTACTGCTGTTTGAAAATTTGTTTATATAAATAAATTTGATCTGATCTCAGTGGAGCCCCCGCCGACACCTGAGGAATCATGGGAATTGTAGTTTAAACAAATACAAGACAAACCGTAGCAGTTTATAAATAAGTTTATTCACCTTTACAGATTTTTATTTTATTTTTTTATAAAACAAGGAGCGGCAGAATAAAAGGGGGAGGGGTCAGTTTAACACATTTCCATGGCGATGCAGGTCAAAACAGTTGCAACTTTTTTTTCCTTATTTTTTTTACACTGAGTGAAAAATTAAATCACATCTGAGTGTGAATGCGTCCAGACCACGACTCCGTGATGATGTCACCCAGGTGAGTCCAGACCATGGTGCCGTGATTATGTCACTTTTTTTTTCTTTTGAAATGATTGAGACATGATCAAAACCAACGTTTCATCCCTGACATGATGAAATGTTTAGGTCAAATGACTTCAGGTGGAAGAACAAAGTCATTTATAGGGGTGGAGCTTAGTAAACAGGTTACAGACAAGAACCGCACCCATCGATCCAGAAAAAGACAGTTCTGATTAAAAGTGTCTTTTATAATTTGTAGACTTGGTTCTGTTCAACACTGAACAGTGCCAGACTTCCAGGTTAAAGGTCACATGATGATGTTTTGAAATGAAGAACTGATTGTTCAAACGACAGATAATGAAAGCTCCTCCCCCTTCAGGAGGGTGGAGCCACTGAACAGAACCAACAAACATAATGTAAACAGAACAAGCTGAAACCAAATGGGTTTACCTGGAAAACCCATGGACCAGAACACATCTGAGCAGAACCGATCCGGTGGTGGACACCTGCGCGGATGTTTGTTGGCAGAACCGGACATCAAGCACCAGAAACAGACGTGTGAAACAGCTTTCATTTTCCAGCAGAACCACTTCCTACCCAAACAGGAAGTACATCTTTAATCACATCGTCCGGGTCAGTGACAGGAAGTAAGGTCAGTCTGTCAGAACCCAACAGGAAGTGCTGCTGTTAAAACTCAGGTGTGAAAACAGCTGCAGAGCGTCACAGGTAAAGCCTGGCCAAAGGCTTGCTGCAGCAAGAGAGCACCACAGATGGACGACAGCACTGATAGCACCTAAAACTTCATGAGATGGACTGAAGGTCCAACACCAACACCAGACGGACTGAAGGTCCAACACCAGAGGGACTGAAGGTCCAAAACCAACACCAGACAGACTGAAGGTCCAAAACCAACACCAGACAGACTGAAGGTCTAAACCAACACCAGATGGACTGAAGATCCAACATTAGACAGACGGAATGTCTAAGCCAACACCAGACAGAATGAAAGTCCAATACCAGCATGGCTAGCTGTTAGCATGAAGCTGCAGGTTGTAGCTGATCACACAAGAGGAAGGTTGGACAGGAAGTTCTTTAAAGGTTCTGTTCCTGGGTTTGATCCATGAAGGGTAAATGTTTCTGTTAGGTAAGAAACTAAAACTTTACCTGCTAATTTGATCTTTGAAGGTTTGTTTACACAACTGATGTAGGCGGAGTTTTATCTGAACTCCACAGTGAAGGAAAACAAACATGGAGGTGATTATGGTTCTGGTTCAGCTTCTACCCCTCCAGGTTCTAGAGTAAATAGTCTGGAGAAAATGTTCATCACCCATGGAAAATGGAGTATGGAACAGAGACTGGGCCTAAAAACAATCTTTTGGTTCTAGAAAAAGTGCCTAAATATTAACTTTTTTACTTTCATGGTCACAAAGTTGACATTATCCACACTAAGTGAGCCCTTGGGCTGAACCCTTGGACAGTGCCTTTTGACTGAACACTTAAGACTGAGCCTTTGGACGGACCCCTTGAACTTAGCCTTTGGACTGAGCCTTCGGACTCGGCCCTTGGACTGAAAGGTTGAAATAATCCCTTGGACTGAGACTTTGGACTGCAACGTTGAACTAATCCCTTGGGCTGAACTCTTGGACTGAGCCCATGGACTGAGCCTTTTGACTGAACCCTTAGACTGAGCCTATGGATGGACCCCTTGGACTTAGCCTTTGGACTGAGTCCTTAGACTGAACCCTTGGACAGTGCCTTTTAACTGAACACTTAGACTGAGCCTTTGGACGGACCCCTTGGACTTAGCCTTTGCCCTTGGACTGAAACCTTGAACTAATCCCTTGGGCTGAACCCTTAGACTGAGTCTTTGGACAGAAACTTTGAACTGAATCCTTGGACTGAGCCCTTGAGATGAACCTCTGGACTGAGCCCTTTGGCTGAATCCTTGGACTCAACCTTTGGACTGAGCCCTTGGGATGAACTCTTGGGATGAACCCTTGGACTGAGTCTCCTGTCCTTGATTCAGACACAGCTGTATCAAAGTTTCACCCTGCTGAGGTGATCCTGGACCTTCTATCAGATGGTTTTTCAAGTGCATCCTTGTGATCAGCTGGTGAAGTCCTACAGGTTTAAAAACACAGACCTTCAGAAACAAACCCAAGTCTTGACATGGCACTGAAGATGAACAATCAGGAAGGATTAGCACCAAATATGAAGATGGAAATTAAGTACACAAGCTAAAACCTTTGACTCCTCAGATCTGAGAACAGGTGGTCCTTCAGATGATCAAAGATGTTCTCTTCAATAACATTTTTCTGGACTTACACTACACAAAGAGTCCAGTTCTACAGGACCCAAATAGTGCTGAGTTACAGTCCGATACACAAAGGAAAAGTTAAACCACAACAAGAACCCAACAGAAACCAATCAGAACATCTGAAGGTTTTGTTTCAGTAAACCCAAACTAAAGAGTCCAACTAGCTGAGTCAGACCAGCTTATATGCCAACATGACCCTCAACCCACTTCTAAAGGTTCTGTTTGCAAATGTTTTGGTGCTCGGACAACTCCAAGAAATACAAGCAAAATGATTTAACTTCCATGGACAAGAGGATCATCATCCTCTTGAAGACTCAGAGCTAATAAACCCCAAGGGTCCTCTTCAATCCAGACTGGTTTCAGAAAGGTCAAGAACCAAAAACTTTCAGGGTCTTTGTCCCCCAAACTGGTTTCAAAGCTGGTTCAGAGATCTTAAGAAATGGTTTCGAGGCAGGAAACCTAGATTTACAGAAGCACCACATCCTTGTTGGTACAGAGCAACAATTGTATATGTCATATATGACTTTCTATGGAGGGACCCGCTCTGACCTAGACCAGACCAGCACCAGAACTTTGTAGACAAAGGTTAACAGTCTGGTGTTGGAGCCAACTGTTTCCAAACAGTTACTGCAAAGTTCTTGGGATTCTGAGGGCACCAGAATCCTGGGTTCTGTTTCCAAAAAGTTCTAAATCTATAGCTTATATGGTTCTGGTAAATCTGCTGAACACCACCGCTGCACAATGAAACCCGGAAGGATAGACCAAGCGTGGGCGGGAATATTTACAGGACCATTTGGATTCAGTTCTTAATAAACCCCACCCGTGCACCACCCGGAAACAGGAGAACCAAGTGCTCCTAAGTGAACTCCAGCAGGAAACTGAGCGCTCCTTTGTGCCGCAGTCGTTGAAGAACGATTCCACTGATCGTTCTTTAGCTTAATGATGGATACAAGTTAGAGTAAAACATTTACTACAACTGAGGGTAACTAAACAGAATCGTTCTGTGTACAGAATCGTTCTACAGACAGATTCCTGTGGACAGACAGAATTGTTTTGCTGACAGACGGATTGTTTTGCGATAAAACAGATAAAACCCTTGAGTTAACAGAGACAGTTCTGAAGACAGAACTTTGTCCTTCTTTAAGGACAGGCTGTTGGACAGCGGACTGTGAAGAATCCTGGTTTCTCTACATTCAAACAGGTCGTCTCTTCTCTCTGCGCGCCGCTGCGTAACAAAAATTCAAGATCTTTCAGAACTTCACATCCAAACTCTGACATAGACCCGTAAATACATCTCAAAGAACTTCATGAGGACTTTTCAAGCCCAATGTGAGAAAACAAAACGGCGATCACCTCCCCTCACACACCGTAAATAAACTCTGCGTCATTTTCAAAAAGAACATTCAGTTTCGACTCATTTAACTCAATAAAACTTTACAGCACAAGCGGTCATAATTTCCGATCAATTAAAAAAGTATCTTAAAAACAACCCATGTGGATTTTTCTGCTCCTATAAGAGACATCGGCGCCCAGAGAGAAGATCCAAATCTGCAGCTACAAAACAAAAAACAGAAAGACGATTCTGCTTCAAGTCTCCTAAAGGAAGGAAGAGAGGAAGGAAGGAAGTGTGGGGTTTATCTTGGTGCAGAAATCTACTCATCTCTGAGATTGTTTAGATTCAAGTTTCACTCCTTTTCTTTTCCAATCCATCTGTCCATTCATTTGTCTCCACAAGGCCATGCCCACTTAGTAATCCCCACCCCCTCTCTGCTGCCTTCTTGATTGTCCAGCCATGAACCTAGTAGATAATAATCTGATGTGAGCTCTTTTGACTCTAGAGTCTGCAAATCAGTTCTGGTCCGTAGGTTTGGTTCCCCTGAAGCCTGTGAGATGCTCGCCTCAGCCCGGCGTTCCTGACGGCGTTTACAGACACATCGTACGTTTATCTACACGAATACACCGTACATACGACTGACGGACAGCGTCAGACTTTCGTGATCTGATTGTGGTGGTCGTCCTCAAACGGTTCATTCTCAGGGTCAGAGTCCGTCGTGTCCGAGTAGCGGTAGTGATCCGGCTCGTTGTCGCTGACGTCCGGCGTCACCGAAGCCGATGTGCTGCTAGTGTCACAGTTGGCTCCTTCCTCCACTGTCTTGGTGAAAAAGAGTTTGACCTGAAAACAGCAGGAAGGACCAGGGTCAGAACCAAGAACCACAACCAGTCTGGGCTATCAGAACCAAAGGAAGTATTTCAGATAACAGGTCAACATACAGACAATAGAACTACAGACCGAGACTAGGAAACAGGACTACAGACAGAGACCAGGGAGCAGGACTACAGTTCAAGACCAGGGAACGCAACTACAGTCAGAGACCAGGGAGCAGGACTGCAGTTCAAGACCAGGGAACAGGACTACAGTTCAAGNCAGGACTACAGTTCAAGACCAGGGAACGCAACTACAGTCAGAGACCAGGGAGCAGGACTGCAGTTCAAGACCAGGGAACAGGACTACAGTTCAAGACCAGGGAACGCAACTACAGTCAGAGACCAGGGAACAGGACTACAGTTCAAGACCAGGGAACGCAACTACAGTCAGAGACCAGGGAACAGGACTACAGTTCAAGACCAGGGAACAGGACTACAGACAGAGACCAAGAAACAGGACTACAGCTCAAGACCAGGGAACAGGACTACAGTCAAGAGACCAGGGAACAAGATTACAGACTAAGTCCAGGGAACAGGACTACAGTCAGAGACCAGGAAACAGGACTACAGATAGAGACCAGGGAACAGGACCACAGTCCAAGACCAGGGAACAAGAAAACAGACTGAGACCAGGAATCAAGACTACATACTGAGACCAGGGAACACGACTACAGACCGAGACCAGGGAACATGACTATAGACTGAGACCAGGGAACACGACTACAGACTGAGACCAGGGAACACGACTACAGACTGAGACCAGGGAACACGACTACAGACTGAGACCAGGGAACATGACAACAGACTGAGACCAGGTAACACGACCACAGACTGAGACCAGGGAACAAGACTACAAACTGAGACCAGGGAACAAGGCTACAAACTGCGACCAGGGAACAGGACTACAGACTGAGACCAGGGAACAAGACAACAAACTGAGACTAGGGAACACGACTACAGACTGAAACCAGGGAACAGGACTACAGACTGAAACCAGGGAACAGGACTACAGACTGAGACCAGGGAACAAGACAACAAACTGAGACTAGGGAACAAGACTACAGACTGAAACCAGGGAACAGGACTACAGACTGAAACCAGGGAACAGGACTACAGACTGAGACCAGGGAACAAGACAACAAACTGAGACTAGGGAACAAGACTACAGACTGAAACCAGGGAACAGGACTACAGACTGAAACCAGGGAACAGGACTACAGACTGAGACCAGGGAACAAGACAACAAACTGAGACTAGGGAACAAGACTACAGACTGAAACCAGGGAACAGGACTACAGACTGAAACCAGGGAACAGGACTACAGACTGAGACCAGGGAACAAGACAACAAACTGAGACTAGGGAACAAGACTACAGACTGAAACCAGGGAACAGGACTACAGACTGAAACCAGGGAACAGGACTACAGACTGAGACCAGGGAACAAGACAACAAACTGAGACTAGGGAACAGGACTACAGACTGAAACCAGGGAACAGGACTACAATGTGAGGCATTGGAGCAAAACTACAAAATAAACGCTTTGTTACACTTGAAGCAGGTAAAACTGATTCGGTTCTACCTTGAAATTGGGGGAGAAGTTCTTGTTGGCTTTGTCCTTGTTAGCTTTGTCCAACTCGTTCTTGTTCAGCTTCAGAACCAGGAAGTCCCTGTCATTGGTTTCTATCATAGCTGCCGCAGTATTCTGATGGAGTCTGTCAGAAAGGTCCCGGAGCGTCCCGGCGCTGCCGTTCTCCAGTGTGTCCAAGCCCTCCTCTGGACCTGGGATGAAGAAGGTGTTGATCCAGAAGTGGAACATCTTTTCCTGGTAGGAAGGAAGACGTGTTTAAAACACCATACACCAAAGTTTTAACAGATGTGACCTAAACCTGAATGCTCCTCACCTTCTTCATCATCTTGTTCTGTTTGTGGAAGAACTCCACCTTGATGTCTCCACAGACAGGAAGTGGCTGAGGAAACTCGAAGAACATTAGCTTGTCTTCTCGCCGTGTGTGGGCAGAGTTGGATGTGTGGATCTTCACCTTCAGCTGGTACACGACAAACTGAGGGTCTGATAAGAGACAACAACCCCTGAGTGACCTGTGTGAGATCTGACTCCACCTTTGATCCCTGACCCAGACTTACTGCAAGTGCCTCCGGTGAACATGGGGATGGTCTCAAACATCATTTTGTGAAAGAGCAGAGCCACGGGTTTGTACTGCAGCCGGTTCCTGAGCAGGAAGTTGTAGTAGATCACATAGCGCCGCTGGCTGGGGATGGTCACACCCTGGACACAAAACAAACGGGTTCTAAACCTGGGTTTAGGAGGAACAAACCGCATAAAAGACTCACTTCTGCAGTCACCTTCTTGTCCCGGGTTCGGACTTCTCCGTAGAAGTCCAGGGCCTCTTGAGCCTCCTGGAACTTCCCTCGATGCAGTAGGTAGGCGCAGATCATGACCCCGGTGCGACCTTTTCCTGCTTTGCAGTGGATGGCGGCCACATGCTGTTCGTCCTCGCTCAGCCACTGATCCAGGTCCTCACAAAACGGTTTGATCAGCTCCAGCTGAGGTGGGTTGTGGTCCTCGAATGGGTACTGAGCCACTGAAACACAAAAGGGATTCATAGAATAGAACAGAATAGAAAAGAAATAGGCTTGAGGAACCTGATACAGGTCTCATTACGGCGGAGGAACCTGGTACAGGCATCATGAGAGCAGAGGAATCTGGTACAGGCCTTGTTAAAGCAAAGGAACCTGCTACAGGCCTTTTTAGGGCAGAGGAAGCTGGTACAGGTCTCGTTTGGGCAGAGGAAGCTGGTACAGGTCTCGTTTGAGCAGAGGAACCTGGTACGGGCCTCGTTTGAGCAGAGGAACCTGGTACGGGCCTCGTTAGGGCAGAGGAACCTGGTACGGGCCTCGTTAGGGCAGAGGAACCTGGTACCGGCCTTGTTAGGGCAGAGAAACCTTGTATGGGCCTCTTTAGGGGAAAGGAACCTGATATTGGCCTTGTTAGATCAGAAGAACATGGTATGGGCCTCGTTAGAGCAGAGGAACCTGGTATGGGCCTCGTTAGGGCAGAGGAACCTGGTACGGGCCTCGTTAGGGCAGAGGAACCTGGTACGGGCCTCGTTAGGGCAGAGGAACCTGGTACGGGCCTCGTTAGGGCAGAGGAACCTGGTACGGGCTTC